ACTGCACAGCACAGGCAATGTGAGGGCTCAGTCTCCATTCCACACTGCACAGCACAGGCAATGTGAGGGCTCACTCTCCATTCCACACTGCACGTCTTCCCTGGAAGACACTACTTACGTCTCAGACTTGAGCCTGCTTGCATAGCTGTAAGGCACAGGGGGCAGAGGTGTCTTTAAGGAAGGAGGTCCACAAAGTTATGTAACTTCTTTACTGTGTCAATATAAGCAGCTCAGCGAATAAACTCCTGACGGGACTTAAAAGCTCTCCAGGCACGAGCCATTTCCCAGCTCCTGTTATAGGAATCTGACTGTCCGGTAAGGCAACAGAAAGTTATCCTGCACGGCTGTTGCCCTACTACCTGCAGCAAGACAAGCAAGACCGGCAAGACCCATCCATTGGCCTGGGAACACAAAGGGTTGGATCAAGGCAGGGCTGCCCTTCAGTGTCCCAAGATGATGTCTGGCCCCCTCATCTCAGCCATTCTCCAATCATTCAGCCCCCAGGAGGTGCTAAGCCTGTCTGTTATGGGTGTAGCTCTCAGACCTGGCAGTGAGTGAATTCTCTAGAATGCACCCACCAGGGATATCAACATACTGATGGGATGGGGAGAACAAGAGACAGGAAGGTATGGTTTGGGCCACCCTTCACCTCAGACTTCAGTTTTCCTAACTGCAAAAAAAGAAACTAAGCCCTGTCCCCAGGAGTCTGGACAGATCCTGAATAAGGCTGGGTAGACTGCAGGATGTGCCTAGAAGCCATGGCACTCACAAGTGGCAGGTGACATGAGCCACCTTGATTAACAGAGTGACCTGAGATGGTCAAGGTGTGCCTGCTGGACCCCCCAAGTGTGATAAAAAACCAAGTTGTGGCTCTACGTGCCCTCCTCAGAAAGCTTGGGGCTGGTGGCGACAACAGGCATAGGCCATGGATCTGCAGACTGGGCAGGTGCTGGCGATGCCCAGGGCGTGGCTGTAAACAGCAAGCTTTATGGCTGCCGTGGGAACAGTCTCCTGGCTCACTGCGGCCAGGGGGCTTTTCCACCAGTCTTCCTCACAAGTAACCCTCAATTCCCAGAACTTCTGACTCAGGAAACACCCGTTCCCATCTCACCAGAACCCCTGGAGTCCACATCAGCCTCTCCAGAGGCAAGCCCCTCTTTCCCTGCTCCTCTGGGTCTATGCATATCTTGCCTTCTGTGCCTAAACAAGATCACTGGCTCATCTCCCTTCTCACTAGATGGGAACTCATAGAGCACCCGACTGTACGTGGGACTCCACAGGGCAGGTAACAGAGTGGGGAGGAGAAGTGGTTGGGGAAGGAGCATGCTCCTAAGTTCAGGCTCCAAGACGAAGCTGGGAAGCAGAAAGCCAAGGCCACTTTCATCCTTGCAGCTCCCTTCACACAGACCACCAAGCTGTGGTGCTCTCACATCTGCTTGGTTCTTCCCTCTGGTCAAGCCTTCCCAGCATGTGCCCAGTTACCTGCCGTGCCCTCCTTCTGGCCATTCTTTCCAGCACCTGCCTAGCCCCCTCCAGGCCAGAGTGGCTAGACCCAGAAAGCAGTGAGCCTGTCTGCTGCCACCTGGTGGAAGCAGAAGGTGAACCGCTCCCCACTCCAGCGGATTCAGACCTCCAGGCAGGCTTCCTTAGAGAAGGTAAATCCAGATGCTACTCCACCAGCAAAGGGTTGGGGTGGCCACGCCTTGTGCTCCTCCAGGGTCCCACTGTATGAGAAGGGGAACTCTAGTGGAGACACGAAGCCTGTGACTGACTGGGTACAACTGTCTCTTGGTGACTCCTGTGCAGGTGAGGCACATGGCCATGTGTCTGAACATACAGTGTGACACACTCGCCAGTCCAGAGCACAGCTAGAGGCACAGGGTGAACAGAAAAGCCGCCCAAAGCTCTGCCTCACCACAGCCATGATACCAACACACCTAGGGCTGGAGGAGGAAGGTCACAGAGAGCCAGCCTGCTTCACAAGGCCAGAGTGCCCATGCATAGGAGAGCTAGCTGTGAAAGGGATCCTGAGGGTGTTTGTGTCCGGGGAACTTCTCAGCCTCCTCCACCTGGACTAACCTCATGAACACTGACAGTGACAATGACTGAAAATAGTAAGAGCACCTTACTCAACACCAGCTGAGTCTCCAAGCTCTACCCACAGGCTCTACCACAGCTCTGGGGGACCAAACAGGATGAAGAACTTCCCATCTTTACACCCTTCAGGGAAGGAGAGGGGGTGTCTGACACACACCCCATGAGTGACAGGGAGCACTCATCTGCTAGAGCTGGATTTCAGCGACTCTGTTCACTTGACTCGGAACACACACTCCGGTTGCACCCAAACTATCATGCTCCTAACAGCCTATGTGGAATGCGTATGCGCAGCACAGACGGGACCTCTTAGCGAGAAAACACCAGGGGCACCACACAGTGTCAGAGAGCAGACCCGCAAATCTCTCCTCGTTAGCATTTCTCATGGAGCTAAATGTGCTGCAATAAAACGGCTATTAACACACTTACATTGATGATGGCACAGCTCACTGGAGCCTGAATTAACCTTTTAGATGAGGGTGGAGGGCTGGGATGCAGCAGCTCACAGCAGACCCAGTGGGTCGCACTCCTGGGGACGGATGTGCAGCCGGGTGTTGGGGAGCAGGGTGGGAATCAACACAGGACCCAAGTGGGTCTCCAACACTCATGGGTTTGGTTCATTCTGCCAAGAGAGTCAGTGAGGGCTACTCTAAGCAAGGACAGTGCAGGCCCAATGCACCTGGTGAGAATCTCATAGGCAGGAAGAACAGGAGCACGGCCTTCTCCCCATAGCACAGCCTTGTCACTAGCCATCCCCAGAGCTACAGCTCAGCAGCTCCCACTCCTGCTACTCGCCAATCTTCCCGCTGAGAGTCTGTAGCCATCCTCGTGGCTATGGCATCAAAAGGGCATCCTTAGTGTCCCAGGCGTGGTACAATGATGTCGGGAGCTTCTGACCACTCTCTCACTAGAACCCACAACTCTGCACCTCACACCTAAAACACTACTTCATTCTGTGGTTATCATGGGTTTCATTTATATATTTGTTGGCTTGCTTTTGCAGTACTAGGAATTTAATGTAGGGACTCATGAAAGTTAGCAGTTGCTCTACCACCGAGCCACATCCCAACCCCTCACTGGAGGATTCTAGGCAGGTGTTCTATCACTGAGCCACCCCTAGCCCCTAGCTAAGCTATATCTTCCACTTTCTTTTTACTTAGGGCAGACATAAAGTTGCCCAGGCTGGCCTTAAAGTCACTTTATAGCCTAGGCTGACACGGAACTTATCACCCTCTTGCCTCAGTTTCCCAAGTAGCTTAGATTGTAGGCCTGTGCCACCAGGCCAGCGCACAGTTGTCTATTAAACAGCCCTCTCACCAAAGGTTCTGCAGCCCTAAGGAAAGGCCCTGCTCAGTGTGGACTCCAGTGTTCTCTGGGAAATTCATGTGGTCCCATCACCCTGGCTGTCGCTTTGGATACTTCTCCAGGTGGACAACCAGGAGCACTGGCTGGGCGAGAGCCAAGCTGCCTACACAGGATGACTGGCACCTCTCTGTGTGTTTCCGTCACAGCAAGGTCATGGATTAGCCCAACAGGTGTGAGCATGGACACCAAAAGAGCTGATGGGCCACAGCTTGGGAACGCGGCCTTGGCCCAGGATGCCTGCAGGTGGGCAGTGCTTCAGGGCAGACCTAGCTTTGTTCACAGGCTCCTGGCAGCGTGGGCTCAGTCCTGGGCTTCTGGGTGTCAGCTCTCTGTGGGCAATGACAACCCTGCTTCTAGGGTCACAGCCAGAGCCAAGCGCAGAGATACAACTGAAAAGTGGGTGCAGGGCAGGCACAGGCAGCCTCTGGAGGCACAGCCATGTAGATCTCCTGACAGGCAGTATCTGCCTTGTCTTAGATGGTCATTTAGCTTCTCTTGAGAACTAAGTGACCTCCACCCCCCATTGAAAGGTGAGCATGTGCTTCCCCTGCATCTGGGGCTGTTTTCAGGGAAGTGCACCACAGGGAATACCAGTGCTTAGCAGGTAGGAGTCCTGCATTGGCACAGAACAGTCAGGAGGAGAGGCCAGATGTGGTTTACACTGGTTCCCAGTGCCTAGCAGCCTACAGGGGCCAAAGAGTTACTTTCTTCTTCAAAAGAGGACATTGTCTCTGCCCTCACTAAAGCAGAATGAGATTTCAGAAGACTCACAATACTGTAGGAGGTGACAGAGAGACAAGAAACCACAGACTGCTCGGAAGACACCCCTAGACAGGAACACCACAGGAACATGTAGCGAGAGGAAGCAGGCTGCCACGGGAACCACATGGCTACATGGCATAGATCATCCTCAAGGCACCTGGCAACAACTTGAGCTGGCAGAGGCCTTGCCTCACCCTAAATCCCCTTAGCACCCACCTCTGCTGCCTAGGGTTGCCTGGAAACCTCTGACCTCCAAGTGCCACAGAAATAGAGCGGGTATCAAAATAATCCCCATGGCTGCACCCCCCAACATAGTCCCCACTCATACATGGCACCCACTTACCTCCATCTCCGAGCTGTGGGCATGCACCTTCTGAACCATGTCCTCGGCCTCCCACATGCGCTGTGTCAGCTGGGCTGAGTACTCGGCCTGGGTCAGCTCACTGTCATAGGATCCCAGGATGGCACGCATGCCATCTCGCTCCTGAGGACACAGACAGACAGATCAGGTGGGGACAGTGTGTGAGGTGGCTTGGAAGGAATACAGAGGTGGGAGCCTCAGAGATCCCTGCATGTGGAACTCAGTAAGCTCAGGGCTGCGCCCTGGTTCCGTATGTCAGTGGTGCACACCTCCAAAGAGCCTGAAACAGAGAGAGACCCAGGCATGCAGCGCTCCAGACTCAGTTTCACTGGGTCAGTGATGGCAGAAGCTAAGCCTGCTAGCACCACTCTCCAACATTGCTGGGGAGGACACTGACTTGATGTGACTCCTGAGCAGTGATATGCAGAACAAGAACACAAGCCCGGTGAGCGAGCGCTGCCCTATCTGAGCACTCAAAACCCTTGGCTCTGTCCTAACTAATGCACTAAGTGCCCAGAGACACTAGGGCTCCGGAAACAGCTGAGGTCTCTCAGCTAGTGCCTCACCTCCACAGAGAACCCACAGACAAATGAGGCCGCCGGCCTGGCCAGCCATGCCCAGCACTCCTGCCTTTCCACTCAGCAGAGTGCGAATGGCAGCTGGAGTTCTGGCTAACCCTTGGTTGGTCTGTGCATACTAGAGAGCCTAAGCTTGACAGCCTGAACCAGAAAGCTAGCAGTGGACAGATGCTGCGAAGACTGGGACCCAGGTTCCCTTGAATGCTAGAGAGACCTGTCACAGGGGCTGAAGGGAAACACACTCCACCCTGCCAGGAGGAAGACCACAGACACGCAGCCTGCCCTGTGTGGGCAGCCGAGATGCTCTGAGGGCCACATATGGAGTACAGCACTGTTGGGGAGCCTGGCTTCCCCAGGCAGCTTACTGCACTCTCTCTTTCTCCATGACTCGGGTTCTTAAGTATGGCCCCAAATCTGCAGCGCCACTGGGCTCCTCTTAACACAGATTTCACTCCTAGGTAGAGGAGGTCCAGCCCTGGGGACCCCTACTCGGATGTCAACTTCCAAGAGCTCAATGGAGTACACAAGTGGTGAAATTTCAATGGAGTACACAAGGTGAAAATTCCTTCCTCCAGAGGTGCAGGTATGCCACGACCCAGCTTCACCATCCTCCTCTGAACATCACCTACTGGGGGTGAAAATTCCTTCCTCCAGGGGATCAGGTATGCCAGGACCCAGCTTCACCAACCTCCTCTGAACATCGCCTTGAGAATGTGATGAGGCTCTGCATCCTGCAGGTCTGGGCAAGCCCAGCTCTGTGCTTCTAACCGGAACCTGAGGCATCCCTGCTGATACACTTGGTACCTTCTGCTTGAGCTTTGCCCATTCATGCAGCCAGCAATGAGGATGCAGAGGACAGACGGCAAAGCTCAGGAAGGAGGGGACAGCTCCTTCTGTAAGAAGTAGCTTCTAACCCCAGCTCTGCTCTGTAGCCAGCTATCGAGTCACCCCAAGTTTCAAGTTCTCCCTCAGCAAGAAAGTGGTCACAAGGGTAGCTACGTGGATCAATACTGCTGTGGACAAAGTGTCCAGTGAGCTGTCCTGCAGTCAACTGGTGCTCATGAAAACAATAGGATTTTATTACCATTGGCAAGTGCTGTCTCAGGATGATGGACAGGACATGGCTCTTATACACTCCAGCATACCCTCTTCCCAAACCACACACCTGGAAAAGGTCAGAGTGGCCCTGCTCTATGTCCCTGGCCAGTGGTTCCTTCCCACGTGACCTGAACATCTATCCATACCAGAAGAGGCTTACGGGGGAATAGTGACCTCCACGGACCAGCTCCCTCAGACCACATGGGCACCAGGAGTAGCACCAGCAGCCATCAAAGACTTTTCAATGCGGCTGAGGCCCTGATTGTGTCACCCAGACTCAGTCACCCTCAGCACCAACACTGCCTATCCTTAAGCCCCTAATGTTTAAGAGCATTCTCCCCTTGGCCCATGGGCCTCCAAAGCCTTGTCTGGGCTCTCTTCTCTCCCAGGCAGGGGACACAGTTATCACCTCGGCACAGAATTCATAATTAGTGAGTGCCAAAAAATTCAATAAGTGAGAAATTAAAGTTCCAAATCCAGCTGGAACTGGTCACAGGTCTGGGGGCGATCTATTTCCGTGGGAAGGTTTATGAAGTGCCATAACTTTATTGAAATCCTATATCTTCCCATTGACTTTTATCGTCTCGAGCTGGTTACCCAAGTTATCATTAGCAGAGTGTCGATGCCACGAGAGGCCGGGCGGGGGATTTCCTTTCATCAACAAACTGTAATTGTCTTTTTTATTGATCGGTAAATCTCCCCACTGCCACCTTTCGCTGGGCTTCTCTCCTCCAGTGTTTCCAGGCTGGCGCAGAAGAAAAACAGAACGGGAGAAGTTTGTTGTTTGTGTCTTTCCAAGGAATGGCCATCACAGTGAGGGTGTTGTGTAGTGCGACTGAGTAACGGCTCTTTAATGAGCGATGCCACTCTCGCCTCAGCGCCACTTGAGCAGGCACAGGTGATTCATCGCAGCACAAATCAGTGCCTGGGTGGTGCCCACAGAGCCCTAAAGACCTGCTCGCCAAGTACCAAACAAAATGGCATTTTCCACTGAGTGCTTCTCCTTGGGTACAGAACAATCCTGTTTGAAAGCAATCAAATTTGCTCACCGCATAATTAATGGCAAGGAGAGAGTGCTAGCAGGCAGTCTTCCTGAGAAAGTCATCAACTGAGGATGGGGCCTCAAGACCACCTGAGACAATCAGAGGGGATGGGTGGCCTTCTGGGCAGTGCCTCTCTGGGTCAGGACAGGCTAGAGGCCATCCTAGCTGTCAGACAGCCCATGGTGATGAACTGGAGTAAAAACCTGGTGGTATCATACAGTGGTATAGAAGAGCCAGAAAGATGGCTCAATGGGTAAAGGGTTTGTTGCGCAAACATAAGGACCTGAGTTCGGTTCTCAGAAACCATGTAAAAAGCCAGGTGTGGTGAGACATGCTAGTTATATTAGCACTGGTAAGGTGGCTATAGGAGAACTCCCAGGGCTGACTGATCAGCCAGACTAGGACTCTGTGAGAGTCTGTGTCTTAAAGGGGTAGGGGCTGGCAAGATAGTTCAATGGGTAACTGTCAACCCTGAGGATCGGAATTTGATTCCTGGGACCCACATGGTAGAGGAGGGACCTGAGTCTTGCAGTTGTGGCCTGACCTACAGGGCATGTACACACACACACACACACACACACACACACACACACACACACACAGAGAGAGAGAGAGAGAGAGAGAGAGAGAGAGAGAGAGAGAGAAAGAGATTATGCACACATGGGGACAGCTAACTAAAGCTATGTTACATGGCCATTTTCAACTCACTCCTAGCTAGAGAGAGTAATAACAGACCCAAAGAAAGGACTTCTTTCATGTCTAGATGGTGAACCATAAGTTTATTGGGTGCATTTATAGAAGCACGGGTAATCGGTGCAGCTGTATCACCAAAAAGTTCACCCAAGCATGCTGATGACCCCACAAAGCTATATCCTTAGAGCTCCCCACACAGCTTGCTGGCAACTCCACCAAAGAGTCTCCTCTCCCCAGCAAATGCTTCCTGCTTAGAAAACCCTGAGGGGACTCTGGAGCCATATCTCCTGTTTATATAACCTAGGAGGAGACTCTGGGGCCATGTCCCCCTGATTATATAACCCTGGGGGGGGGGCGGCTCTGGGGTCACGTCTCCTGATTATACACCCGTCAGGGGGAGACTCTGGAGCAATATCTCCTGATTATATAATGGGGGGGAGGAACTCTGGAGCCATGTCCCCTGATTATATAACCCTGGGGGGGAAGCTCTGGAGCCATGTCTCCTGATTATATAACCCTGGGGGGAGGCTCTAGAGCCATGTCTTCTGATTATATAACCTGGGGGGGCTCTAGAGCCATGTCTCCTGATTATATAACCTGGGGGGCTCTAGAGCCATGTCTTCTGATTGTATAATGGGGGGGGACTCTGGAGCCATATCTCCTGATTATATAACCCTGGGGGGGACTCTGGAGCCATGTCTCCTGATTACATGACCCTGGGGGGGGGACCTCTGGAGCCATGTCTCCTGTAGTTTCCTGAGTCATAACCCCAGACTCCACCCTACACCCCACCTGAGCCACCTCCCTCCCTCCCTCCACAGGTGAAGGTTTCAATCTGGTAAGTGCTGCACACAAAACTAGTAAAGAACTCCAGGGCTTCACAGTGGTTTTCTAGAAGGGAAACTGAGGCATACACATACAGAGTCACTTGCTTCGGAACCCAGGAACTCCAAATCACTGCCTTCTGGAACCTGAGCCTCTTGACAATGCCCTTTCCCCCATGACAACATTTAGGAGAAACTCAACCAGCCAGACCAGGGGGGGCCACGGATGACCATCACAGGACAAGCAACAAAAATGGGGTACAGGAAGCAGTATCCCCGCTCCTGGGAAGACACTGGATGCCCCACGAGAGCGCTGTGTGACTGGCACTGAGTCGGTGGAAGTCCTGCCACTTATCTTCCACCCACTGGTGAAAGCTCACTAACCTGGCTTTGGAATGGAGACCATTCCATTAAGTCCATGGAGGTCATAATAGCGCAGCCCACTGGGCCTTGGGGCAGAGGATGCACGAGCAGGCCAGGGGCCAGAGTGCTAAAGAGATAGCAGGTGGTGACAGGTGGCCACAGCATGGAGGCTGCACCAGGTGTATGCGAAGAAGTACACCCCAGCCAGAGGGCAGTGTAGGTGGTTCCCACGGGGCCTGGCCAGAGAGCAAGACATGAAGACCACACAATAGTTTCTTTCTGTTGCTGTGATGGAACACCACAACCAAAAGCAACTATGGAAGAAATGATTTGTTCTGTCTTAAGGCTCCAGAGGAAAAGTCTATAATGGGATGGGGGTGAGGGGAGCAGGAAATTGAGCAATCACATCTTCAACAGCAAACACCAAAAAGAACACAAACTAGAAATGGGGCAAAGCTGTACACTTTGAAGGCCCGCACCCAGTGATATGCTACTCAGCAAGGCCCCGCCTCCTCAACCTCCCA